ATTATGGATGCAGCAAAAGGGCTGTGGCATTACTTTCATCGGATAGCATTGTGAGATTTTGGTTGGGGGTTTGTTTTTGTTCTTCTTCTGAAAAAAATTTCATTATAATTGATTTTCAGTCCTCTGCCTTACATGCCTTAAAACAAGTAATTAGCTCCAGCACTCCAAGCCTCATCACTTTGTGACTGGAAAATTAATCATGAAGAAATCTCCCTTTTATTCTGATCAAGTTATAAAGCTTGGGATTGGTTTATAAAAAACAGATGTTTACATTCTGTTTTCCTCCTGTTTCACCAATGACATCATGAGAAGCAAGTATTTAACCAGAGACATGCAAAATGTACACAGTAAAAACCCCAAACCATAGAAAACTACCCTCCTCTACAAATCTTTGCCGCTAGAAAATTCAGCTCAGGTTCACCGAAACCTTCACATAACTTGGGGAGTGAAGATCCCCAAGGCCGCGCTCCCACTCTGTATACATTCTTTAAAATCAAGAATGTACATCTTTGGACTCTGGATGTTAGCCCACGCTTCTTGCAAGATTGTTATGTTTATTGCTCACACATTTATAAGCCATCCCCTCAGCAATGCCGGCTCTTCGCATTTTTGCAGGAAAAAGAAGTAGGACCCCCAATCCCATGATGCATTGCCCAAACTAGCGTACTCTAGATGCCCTCCCCAGCCCCAACCACATGACCAGTGATCAGCTATAATGGGATCTGTCGTCCAAAACAACTGGATAGTACCCGGTTGGTAACAGAATCCATGATAAAGCCATAGGGCTTCCAAGAGGGTCCTTGCTCCAGAGAGAACAGAATGTCCAACCCCCCCCCCTCTCCTTCCTCAAGTCCAGCACTTCTTTTGCTGAAACAGACCCATCGGGTGGGCCAGAAACCTGGCCTAAATTAACTCAGCATCCAGGAAATCAGTGTGGTCCAACATGCCTAACCAAAAGAATAAACAAATCCCAAAACAAAAAGTCAGGCAGAAGTTGGAGTTCACTTAAAGGAATACAGCGGATGAAAGTATACAGGAGCTGGGGGTTGGGATGCAAAAGCTTCTTTCCACAACCCTGCAGGCACAGTATTGCGATGATATCTTTCCTTCAGATTACATGGGCTAGCGCACAGCAGGGTTCATCCCCAAACACTCCTTTCTCACAAAGCTTCTGTTGTGGTAACGCAATCTCCGCACGTATACCACATACTTGCAACCACAGATATTCAAACCATTTCCCTTCTCATAAACACTGAGCTTTTCCCTCACACCTCAACGATCCCTTCTTCCTTGAGCAGAACGATCAATATCAACACCGTTTTTTAAAATAAAAAGCAGATTAAACTTTTATCGTACCATTTACTATGTTGATGTTTCCATCTGCCTCTCCTGCTTTGCTATCAACCTTGGGGTTTTTTTGCCTTTTGTTGAAAGGGCTTCCATTGAATAAAGCACCCTTTTCAGAAAGGGGTGAGGGGGGTTTGCTGCTTTTTGACTAGAATGTTCCAGAATACAATGCAAATATCCAAAGCATCTAGAAACACAAATTGTGGCTTGCAAGAAATTACCGTATTTTTCACTCCATAAGGCGCACCAGACCATAGGGCGCACCTAGCGCAGCCTGTCCACATCTCCCAGAGCTTCTGGGGCTGCCATGGGAAGCCCAGGTTTCCCCCCCAGCTCCAAAGAGCAAAGAAGCCAAGACAGCGAGCAGGATCCATCCCGCTTGCTGTATTGGCTTCTGCCATAGCTGCGCACAGCCTCTCCCGGCTGGAGAGGTTGCGCACGCCTAAAGAGGAAGCCAAGACAGCGAGCGGAATCCATCCTGCTTGCTGTCTTGGCTTCTGCCATAGCCGCACGCAGCTTCTCCCAGCCGGAGGGGCTGCGGGCGGCTATGGCAATACCCCCACCTCCCGCAAAAGCCCACAGGAGCCGCGCACCCTTTAAGGAGCGCGCGGCTCCTGCGGGCTTTTCTACAAGGAGGGAGAAGCCCGCAAGAGCTGTTCGGAGCTTGTGTGCGGCTCTTGGGGGCTTTTCCTGCCTGCCTCCCCCCTGCATTCGCTCCGTAAGACGCACACACATTTCCCCTTACTTTTTAGGAGGGAAAAGGTGCGTCTTATGGAGCGAAAAATACGGTAACTTCGCTGCTGCTGGAGAAAGGTAATTTCCACGCCACTCCAAACGGCACTAATGGGCAACCAATGAGTCTAGTGGTTCTCTCTATTAAAATCATACAAGGAAAGATGTCTCAAAGGGAATGGAACTAAAGCGTGGAGGCAGGACAGCAGACAGGGTGAGCAACCCAGAGGAGGCACAAAATGCTTATCAGGAAGATAGATCAGAGGAAACACTTAGGACAGATCCACAGCATACATTTAAAGCACCTGGCGTCCCTCAAAGAAATCCTGGGAATTGTAGTTTCTTATGGGTGCTGGGCATTGTAGCCATGTGCATGGGAAACTACACTTCCCATAATTCTTTGGGGGGACGCCATGTTCTTTAAATCTGGATCTGCCCTCAGAGTGTGAACTTTGAAGCAGACATGTTTAATAAAGGACCTTGTTTCATCGAACTCATGCCTCAGGCCAACACTTGAAACAAGGAGAGCCCCAATTCATACTCTGCGTTCATTTCAGAAATGAGTGGAAATTTAACTGATCTCCCTCCGTTTGGTTCAATTCTAATTTTCTTCTGAAATGAAATTTATATCCTGCCTTCTTGCAACACGGAACACAAGGCGGTTTTCCATAGGGCAGATTTCCCTCTAGATATTGTTGGACTCTTAACTTCTGTCACTCCTAGCCAGCATGGCCAATAGTCAGGGGTAGTGGCAGTGGTAGTTCAACAGCATCTAGGCACCCAGGGATGATGAAAGCTTTTGTGTGGTGTCCCATCCGGGTACCAACCAGATCCATACCAGTTTAGCTGCAGTGCAGTTGCTGCATCTTGTATCTTTATACTATGTCCTCAGACCAGTTGTTAGCAACCACCCCACTCAGGGGACACAATGCAAGGATAACAATTGATTAAAAAAAAAAAATGCAAATCATCCCCCCTTCATTAATCACTAAATATGTGATGAGCTAAAGCTGTTGCTTTAATTTAAAAACCTTACGATCAGCACTGATAGTTCATTTAGCAAAGATGTCATAAGCATATAAATTTCTACTTTGCATTTCCCTGTTCTTAAATTGTTTGTGTACGCTGCATTTTATTGCCAAGCCGCTCTGAAATCCTTTGCTGTCAAAAGCAATTGATCAATGAAATAAATAGCCTTTACTTTTCCCAGGTACCCAAATCCTTTGCTATTCCTGAAGGCAAGTACCGAGTGTTAACCGCGTGGTGCACATCTCAGCAAAGCATTCATACATTTAATGTTGAAAGTAAAGAAAGGGAGGGAGGGAATCGAGGAAATTCCTGCAGTTTTTCAGAGACCCGATAAACATCTGTTGGGGTGGTTTAGGTATAATGCATTTTGCCTCAATACAAGGAAGTTGAACTATTAGACTCTTGAGGGTGCTTTTCAATTCTGTGGTTCTGGGCTTTGAATCACTCCTTCCTGCAGTTTGGAACAACAGTGATTCCTTCCTAGAGCTTGCTTGAACTATGAGTTCAAAAAAGCCAGAGGCCTCGGCACTACTTCACGTTTGGCAATCACAGCATTAGTACTGTAGGAAAACTACATAGTGCTGGACTTGCTGAGCCTCCGTCAGAACAGCTTCCTAAAAGCCCATCTTGAAAAACCATCACCGTATCCTCTGAAGTACGCCGTAAAAAGAAAAATTAGACCTTTTCTCGTGGCAAAATATTCCATGCTGCAGTGGCCCAAGAATCACATGGATTTATTTTTACTGTTTTCCACTTCCTCTCTTCTTTGCCCCACAGAAATTTCATATAAGTGTCATTGTGATTCACAGCTGAAGAGCTTGGGAAATATAACCGCATGTGGTATAAAAGAAAGGCAGCACATTGTTCAAAGTAGATTATCTTGAATGTCAATCCACCTTTTATAGGCACATAGCTTTCCAGCACATGGGGCTTTGATTAATTGCGTGTTACTGTTTTCCAGGATGGAACTGATTCTTTGCACCTAAAAGGACGCCGATCTTTGATGCGTCTCAGAACATCGGGGCTATTTTCTGTTCCTAATGGGGGTGCTGAAATTTGTAAAATATGAAGGCTGGGGCAGGATGCTCTCACGGCACTCTGGGCCATCAAAGAAGCCAGAGGGACTTTTGCAACTCCAGTTCTGAGCAAGGAACCCAGGATCGTAGAAACACAGAGTGGTAGAGTTGGAAAAGACCCCAAGGGATCTTCTCTCCCTGCCCCCCCCGCCCCCGTAATGGGCAGATGACAGCAGGACCGGATGACTCACTTTGCCCTGGGCTTCTGGCAAGGCCAGAGCAGCAGGTGAACACCTTGTGGTGCTTCCCAAGCTTCCCAGAAGCCTTCCATAAATACCATCTTCCCCAAGTCCTCCCTAATGTACAGGATTCTTGGGAGGGACTTTTAGAATCAGAGAGTTGGAAGGGACCATGAGGGTCATCTAGTCCAACTCCCTGCAATGTGGGGTGTTGTTGTTTTTTGCTCGAACCCATGACTCATGCTCTACCGATTTTAGTTTGGCTCTGGGCAACCGAGAAGGTCAGAGCAGCAAGAGGGAGACTTGCACTCCTTCAGCAATGTGAAGAGGATTCAGCATGGTGGCTAAGAGGACATTCATAATACACCCTCAGGTGCCAGACAAAAACGTTCCTTTTTTAACCAGGCCTTTGGTTGACCTGATTGACATCCTATACCAGGCTTCCTCAACCTCGGCCCTCCAGATGTTTTGGGACTACAATTCCCACCATCCCTGACCCCTGGTCCTGCTAGCTAGGGATCATGGGAGTTGTAGGCCAAAAAAACATCTGGAGGGCCGAGGTTGAGGAAGCCTATCCTATACCCTTTTAAAATGTGGATCTTTTTTAGGAGGGGCATTATAGAGTTGTTTTTATTTTGATTATATATATTGCGGTTTTTATGTTGATCTTTTCTGTGAACCGCCCTGAGACCTCCAGGTATAGGGCGGTATATAAATTCGAAGAAGAAGAAGAAGAAGAAGAAGAAGAAGAAGAGTAGTTTGGATTTGATATCCCGCTTTATCACTACCCGAAGGAGTCTCAAAGCGGCTAACATTCTCCTTTCCCTTCTTCCCCCACAACAAAGACTCTGTGAGGTGAGTGGGGCTGAGAGACTTCAGAGAAGTGTGACTGGCCCAAGGTCACCCAGCAGCTGCATGTGGAGGAGCGGGGACGCGAACCCGGTTCCCCAGATTACGAGACTACTGCTCTTAACCACTACACCACACTTGCTCTAGAAGAAGAAGAAGAAGAAGAAGAAGAAGGAGGAGGAGGAGGAGGAGGAGGAGGAGGGGCTGGGAGAAGGAGAGGGAGAGGAGATGGGCTTGGTGACTAATAAGAGTGTGGGAGAGGGAAGAAGGAAGAGAGGAGAAGAACTGAAGTGAGATGGGGCTTGAAGAGAAGAAGGTGCCTCAGGGGAAGCATAACCTTGGATCAGGGGTTCCCAGTGTGGTGCCCATGAACTCCCATAAAGGCCTTCCCTGGCATCCATAAGGTCCCTTCCCACACTGAAATGAAGCATTCTGCTGTAACAAACACAATGCACTGTGGTGTGCACTTGGTTGCAGTGTGTCTGCGTGGCACCCACAAGTTTCTCCAGTTTGCAAATGGGGCCAAAAAAGTTAGCGATCCCTTCTTCAGCTTGTCTGCCGTGTGTTCCATCGATCCTTTGCTAAGGTTCACTGATGGGTCGCTAACTCAACAACAAAATGGCGGTGGCGCCATTTTAGCCACATAACCATTCGCACTCTGATACTGAGCTTGCTGTCGGTATATAGGTTATTATTGCTGTTATTATTATTTTTCATTTCATTTCTATACCGCTTTATATTTTTAAGAAAAAATCTCAAAGCAGTTTACAGCACATTAGGCGCCAGGGTTATACCTGTTTACAACTTCATGTTCCTGTAGCTTGTAGTTAGATGAACTTTTGGCTAAAAACAAAGGAATGAACCATGATTTCAAAATCTTTTTTTGGGGGGGGGGGACATCACCCCGAAATCAATAAATCAATTTTTGTATATGGAACTGTATAATATGTAATATGCATAGCATGTATTATAATGCAGGAAAAACAGAGCTTGCAAATTTTCCAATACTTGTACAATGTTTTATACAATGTACGACACACATCCCTTCTTATTGCTCAGAATAAATCAAGGTTGCAGTTTGTCTCTGTTTCTGCCGCAAGAACCATGAAGTTCCCATATCACTTTGAATGCACGTTCTGCGCACCGATTACCGGTAGTACTTGGTATCTGGAGTGGCTCCTGTTTACAGTGATTCTCCAATACAGTTTTAGGAAGTTCCTGACAGCTGTAAAAAGTTCTAAACAGTTCCATAAAGGTGTTTTTTTTTTTAAAGTGCTAATACTTATGAGTAGAAACGTTATATATACGGCGATTCCGGCTTCATTTGGGGCTGACCATTTTTCACAACTGAGAAGAATTACGGTAGTCCCTTTTTCAGTATTTCTAAGCAAGAGTTCATCCCTTTAGGATACAGGAAATCGTTTTTGTTTGTTTGTTTTTTGAAGTCAAAAAGTTATAACCCTAATAGGCACAGGATGGAAAGGTCCTCGATTATATATAGCCCTCAGGACTGGATTGTTTCTTCCTTCTCCCAAGCCTCTGCAAACAACTCTTCACACTTTTAAGTGTTTTGAACGCTTCACAGACTAGATTTAAAGCACCACTCTCGGCTTTGCATGGTTTCTGGTAAAGAGGAATAATTTGTATTTTGCTGTGACAGTTCCCCATGAAAACACTGGTTTTGGTGGAAGGGGGAAGAGAGTCTAAAGACCTTTCCTTGCCTTGAAACATCAGCATTACGCTGCAGATGCTCAAAATATCATTTGTGCCACTGACGAATGCACATCTGTTCAACGTATGGCACAGAATTATTTCAAGAGCTCGAGTATATAGGATCTATTGTCAGGGTATCCATAATGACTGCCTTAGCATGGGAATTTTGATGACCCAGAAGGTAGCTTTCAATTCTATGCATCCAAGCCATCTGACAACACAAAAATGCTGTATACTATTAATCTGACTTTGAAAATGTACTGTTACTTAATGCTGGGTTGCTACAGAATTATTTATTAACACGGAAAAGAGGGCTAAGCTTCTCACGTTCCTCTCAAAATCTTTGCCTACATTTTTTTATTTCAAAAATCCAGTAGGTTTAAGAAGGGATGTAAAAGCCACTATCACCCTCTACTGGTATATTAGACGAAATCTCTTCACACAAAGGGCACAGTCCAGGGACAAACATTAAGAACTTTTAAGTCTCATTGATTGCAAAATGAGATGTTAAGATGGGCAGCAGTGGGCAACCCTACCATGAGCCAGAGTGAGGCAGCCACCTCAGGCGGCAGATTCTGAAAAACCAGGCGGAATTGCAAGATGGAGGACAGATTGTGTGCCACACAATCTGCCCTGTGACCGAGTTAGCAGGCACTGGTTTTTTGTTGTTTTTTTCAGCCAGTGGTTTGTTTGTTTTCCTTTTGGATGAAGGCAATTCAGGAACCATAGATTGACTTTGGTTGGGCAGTCCACAAAAACCTGCATCTAGCACCAGTTCTTGGTGATTATTTGTTGTTGTTGTTTAGTCGTTTAGTTGTGTCCGACTCTTCGTGAACCCATGGACCAGAGCACGCCAGGCACTTCTGTCCTCCACTGCCTCCCGCAGTTTGGTCAGACTCATGTTTGTAGCTTCGAGAACACTGTCCAGCCATCTTGTCCTCTGTCGTCCCCTTCTCCTTGTGTCCTCCATCTTTCCCAACATCAGGGTCTTTTCCAGGGAGTCTTCTCTTCTCATGAGGTGGCCAAAGTATTGGAGCCTCAGCTTCAGAATCTGTCCTTCCAGTGAGCATTCAGGGCTGATTTCCTTAAGAATGGATAGGTTTGACCTTCTTGCAGTCCATGGGACTCTCAAGAGTCTCCTCCAGCACCATAATTCAAAAGCATCAATTCTTCGGCAATCCGCTTTCTTTATGGTCCAGCTCTCACTTCCATACATCACTACTGGGAAAACCATAGCTTTTACTATACAGACCTTTGTTGGCAAGGTGATGCGTTTTTGCGCATCTTCCTTGAAATTATGAATCGCTTCAGAGAGGGATCCATTTTGGGCGTTACTGTGAAGAACGCCATGGACACTGATAGTCCTATATAAATAACGGGGGACACCACCAGATAATCTCAGATAAGAGTACAACTTTTCTATAGTTATGGTTGACATGAAAACCTACTTCCCAGACAAGAACTCTTTCCTGTTTATATAAATTTACACCACACGCACATACCTATTCTATCGCCTTTCTCTTCCCTTACTTCCCGTCCCCCACAGCAGAATACGCTACCCTTAATTTTGGAAAGGGTAACAAGCCAGATATTTCTTTCTCTCTTGTAAAATGATCCAGCGAAGTTCATACCAAAGCATACAAAAACAAAACAAAACACAGTGCTCCCCAAATCCTTGTCATATGGAGCCATTTCCTGCAGCCTCTACTGAAACTATGGAACGTCTCTCTGAAATATTTGGCCTATAGCCCTGCTCTCAAATAGAACACAGGAACTTGCCTACCTCCTACAAGTCTCTCTGGAATTGGCTGGCTTTGCTATTTAAAATAAAAATAAAAATTCCACTTTAAAAAAATGATTTAAACCTGCTCACCGGTGCAGTGTTAAATAACCGACATTAAAATGTTCCTCACTACCTTTAAAAAAAGAAGAAGAAGTTTGGTGCTTATATTACAAACTTTTTGAAAAGGGGGCTTTTCAAAGTATGCATTTTCCATCAAACCTCAGTGTTAGCTTTGAAGTTCTGTGAGGCTATAAGTTAGCACTTTATGCCCCAGTGTAATTTTCCAAAAAGGACACATTGGGTGGAGAAATAAAACTGTATTACCAACACAGGACCCCTTCTACTATATGCACACTTAACTTTAACGAAGAGGCACTAAAACCAGAACTGCGTCCCTCTGAGTATTTTCTGCCCTGACTCTGTAATCTTTTTAGACTACTTCTCAACTAGGATACTTATGGATCAATGAAGACTAAGAAACAGATCTTGTTTTTTTTATTCGGTATAGTGGCACCTCGGGTTACATACACTTCAGGTTACAGACTCCGCTAACCCAGAAACAGTACCTTGGGTTAAGAACTTTGCTTCAGGATGAGAACAGAAATCGTGCTCCGGCGGCGCAGCAGCAGCAGGAGGCCCCATTAGCTAAAGTGGTGCTTCAGGTTAAGAACAGTTTCAGGTTAGTACAGACCTCCAGAACGAGTTAAGTACTTAACCCGAGGTACCACTGAATTGAGGTTCAAGATGTTTCGCTTCCCACCCCCTGGTGACAAAATTTAAACCAGACCAGTAAATATCCACTTGCCTGGCCACCTTTAGTGTGTAAGAATTCTCTCCAGGGCTCAGGGCCAATACATTTTTCTACCTGAGATGCAACAGCAAATGCCACTCACGCATGCGCACACATCAAAATCAAGCGCCAAAACCTGACCAAGTTACTTTAACTTCCGAGGCAGAAAAATCCAACAAGCATCTCTCTCTGGGAATCAAACTCAATTGATAATAAATAATATAACCATTTGTTGTCCTTTCAGGATACCCCAAATCAGCTGCTTGAGGCAAAGCGGGTTCTCCTTCATGGAGAGCACGTGTTGCGGTGGGAGCAACCATGACATCCCCTGTTGCTGGGCGGGTTAGTTTGGATGGCCACGGATTTGACGGGGCAGCTCCAACATTGCTGGGGGAAATTGATTGTTGCAATTTTATTTGATTGATGGGGGTACTATATAGGTCCCTGTGCGCAGCGTTGAGCTTCTTCTTTTCGGTGCGCCCATCGGATCACCCTCCCACCCTCCCTTTATTTAGGGTTCGTTTGCGCTGACCTTGCTATGCCTGTCATGGGGTCGTCTGCTTTGGAGCAGGGGCCTGGTAGGAATTTCACCATCTGGCTGATTGGCTGGTGCCATTTGGGTTTTGCCTACTGCGTAGCAAATCGTCACAACTTGTAAGTTGCGGTTAGGCATTTTTGGTTGGTAGAAGGGATGTGGTTGGCTGTGCCTGCCCCTCCAATGCTGCTGCTGCAAGGGTATTCTGTTAAAGGAATCCAGGGGCTTGCCATGCTCTTGTCTGAACCCCTGTCAAGGGGCTAGGGCCATGCAAGAGCCCCTGGGAGCATTTGGGGAGAGATGTGAGCCTGGCACCCAGTTTATTCTCTCTCCAAAATTGCTTACCCTTTCAGACTTCCGCACGGGTGTGGTTGTCAGTTCTGTTCCTAACTCCAAATGGGAACAGATAGTCACTAACCAATGCCTAAGCAACCACTCACTTACTGTAATTCAATAAAGTTGTGGCCAACATTATGCCAAAAACCAAAACAAAAATGATGTGTGAACGTGTTTTTATTCAGGGGTGTGTTGGGGGTCCACGACACGCAACTCCCTTGCTCTGCGCAATAGCAGAAGTGGCCCTGACAGGGGAAAGCTTTTTGTAATTTGAACTAAAAGAGTTAGCTCTTCCCATTACCACTGCCATTACTGCACTCGTTGACTTTCTCTATTACTGTTCTTTCGGTGTATAAGTTTTTGGTCTCACTCATCCTTGCTCCATCATTTCAACAGGAAGTGGACTCATTCCTGTCCACTGCAGTCCCCTCTGACAAGAAGGACACTTCACAATACAGTGGTACCTTGGGTTACATACACTTCAGGTTACATACACTTCAGGTTACAGACTCCGCTAACCCAGAAATAGTGCTTCAGGTTAAGAACTTTGCTTCAGGATGAGAACAGAAATCGTGCTCCAGTGGTGCAGCAGCAGTGGGAGGCCCCATTAGATAAAGTGGTGCTTCAGGTTAAGAACAGCTTCAGGTTAAGTACGGACCTCTGGAACAAATTAAGTACTTAATCTGAGGTACCACTGTACGTCCAACCTAACAATTCAGAAATACACAAAAGGGTGCTTTAGTAAAGGTATATTTTGAGTTTGTTTTCTGCTCAGTTAGTCCTTTCAGTTGGTCAAAAAAATATCATTTTGACCTTTAAACAATCTGACGGGCAAACCAAAATGGCGGTGCTACATAATATAAGCACAGCAAGGGGCTGGGAAATGTTACTGCAAATTACCGCTCTGCTTTTTGAGACTCAAGGAGATCAAGCACATACAACCCTTACTAGCACACGGATGTGACAGGCGATTGCATTAATCCTGATAGCCAAACTTCAATGTCTTCCTGTACAGATATTTCACACAAATCAGTGGCATTAATTTTACAGTGCAAAGCTATTGTAGCTTCAACAAAGCACACCTGCACAATTTAAATCCCACTGCACCCAAAGCAGCCTGCCAAAAATACTTCAGGAATCTCAAACTACAGCAATCCTGGGTGATTTAAGCTTTCTAGAGTCTTTATCATCTTGGTTGCCCTCCTCTGCGCACATTCATCTCTCACAAAGTTTTTTTAAATAGTAGCATAATACTGACAGGTGTGAATTGTACTTAGTGTTGCAAACATTCCTCACAGGGTAGTTGGTCCATCGCCTTGATGATTTTGGTTCCTCTTTTCTGAACTTTTTCCAAATCTAGAATATCCTTTTGGAGGTGAGGTGAGCATAATTCAACACAGTATTCCAAATGCAAGAGTTAAAACAAAAAGAGATTATGAAGAGCTCCAGAACGATCTCTCCACACTTCACCTGAACAACAGATTCAAGCTTCTTGCCTTCTTTTCTACTAATTACAACCTCGGTGCACCTTGGCTGAAATATACTCGGAGTCGAGAATGGATTTCATGCTCTTTATTCAGCTCATAGTGGTGAGGAGGAATGGAAGTTCCCCCAGAATGTCTGCTTTATATACATTATTTGCACAATGGGCCCCACGTGATTGGCTAATTCCGGGATTCTCCTGTAGGCCAATCAGGTTGCGGATTCACTTACACCTGGAGCTGGATTGGGTGGCTCCTGTGGACCAATCAGACTGCTGCATTCTGAATCCTATTGTTCTAGGACCAATCAGACTGCTGCATTCTGAATCCTATTGTTCTAGGACCAATCAGACTGCTGCATTCTGAATCCTATTCAACTCATAACTTTGGCTATACTTGTAATTGCATTCTGCTGTTGCCAAGTTGTACTTGCTGTGTTTTATGTAATTTCATTGCCTACATCCGCTTTGCAGGATATAAATATTGTCTGAGCGTATGTATTTTATACAATTACATTGAGATACGACACCAACGTTGGGATTGCTGAAACACAGTAAGTTGTGCAACCAGCATGTGCAAGTTTTCTTGATTTGTGTAACAGATAACCTGCTTTCTTCTCCAAAATCCTCTGCTCTGTCACACAACCAAAACAAAATATAGAATCACAGAAGAAAAGTGTGTTGCTGAGGGCAAGGGGAACTTCCCCTCCCCAAATTACATTTCTGAAACAGGAATAACAATTTATTTCAGTACAACGTTGCCGTTTTAAATGTATTGATTTTAAATAAATTAACTTTCAAGTAAACTTGCATAGGTAAAAAATAAATAAATTATTTGCTTCAAGAAATCACTTGGATCAAGCAATGGAA